ATGAAATACTTTAAAAACACTTCTCTGTTTATACCACCATCAGTTGGGGTTTCAAATACTTGCAGATGAACAGTTCCCTAATTGATACTGCTCTATAATAAATGGACAAGTTTAAATTAAGTTAATGTATTTGAAAACAGAGAAGGAGGAAAATCAGGCTTTCCTGAGAAAGCTGCAGGCCTGTTATATCAGACCTGGGACAGTGTACTGGCAGACGTATTCCTTTCCCTTTTTCTGTTCTGATCCATAATGCCCTCCTTTCAGACTATGTTCCAGCTGAGTTCAGCAAATGACACACATTTGCTGGAGAGTGGAAGAAGATACATGAGGGTGGGGATTGTATTCCTTCCCCTCCCTGTCTGTCATAAGTGATATTTTCATTAACAGCTGAAACTTCTCAATGCGTTGGCTCCTACCAGACAGGCCAGCCAATGTTGCAGCATATGCTTAGTGATTGATCCTGGCTCCTTGTCTTTTTGCCCTTTCATCCTAGAAGCTGTCCTCTTGATCATTTCTGAACAGTCTCACCATTCTCTATTCGGCATCTTTGCTGTCCATCACCTGTATAACCAATTCCTTGCAATAAAATCTCTCTGACACATGAAATATTTGAACTGGTTTTTGTTTCTCTAATTATAAATCAGTTGAGACTTTTTAAAGAATACTGAATTCTCAATCCTAAGCCAACGCTATTGCATACTAAGTCAGAGAGATCGGGATGGTAGCAGGAAATATGACTGGTACCCAAGAGAAGTCTGATTCTTTAGGCCCCTTTCAAGCACCTAATATAATCTCTGAGGAAAGAGACAATTATTCTCGATGTAAAATGCAACTGGCATGCATCCTGAGGAAAGAAGAAAGGTTTTGTCTCTTCTCCCCCAACCTGTTGATTTGAAAGCTCAAGGTAATATAGTTTTTACTCTTAAGATGTTACCTATATATGTTAGTTTCTCTTCCAAGTAGAACTTATCATTAGCATTATCCTGTTCTCTTTCCACACTGAATGTTTATTGTATTTATTGGAGGTGAATAAACATCTTTTGGGCTTAGGTTGCTGGTCCTTCTTTACTTGGCGAAACAGTTTACCTCATATAGGTGTGCTGGTCTAGGAGGTGAAGGCAGTAAACAGATGAGATTTAGATTGTCTCTCCAGGAAGAAGGTGAGTATGTTTGGATTATTAGTGAGATTTTGTAATTTAAGATATGGGGAATACAGTGTGTATGAAAATAGGGCAGCCAGAAAAAGGTAGTAAGCATTTGTGAGTTTTTTTTTTAACATCTATCTCTCTATTTATTTATTTTTTTCCCTGACAATAACAACAACCTGATTTTCCTTTGAGAAATTACCCCTTTCTTACCCTCAGTGCATTCAGTTTGGGTGGTATTAACACTACCTGTGCCTACAGGGATAGGCATTTAATTCAGGCCTGGCCAATCAGAACACTGTACCTCCTTAGCCAGAGTGATTGTTGAGGGATGGGTACACACCCTAATTAAAGTCTGTGAGACACACAGTTAGGTCTTTTGGAAGGAAAACATTCACCTCTGTTTATGCTGAACTTGGAGTTATGAGGATGTTAAATCTTGTCAATCACTTTGCCAATATAAGAGAAGGACATGCCCAAAGATGGAGCCAAGACACAGGGAAGCAAAGGTAAGAGACATAAAAAGAACTAGCACTTTGGGAGGCCAAGGCAGGTGGATCACGAGGTCAAGAGATCGAGATCATCCTGGTCAACATGATGAAACCCCGTCTCTACTAAAGACACAAAAAATTAGCTGGGCATGGTGGCGTGTGCCTGTAATCCCAGCTACTCGGGAGGCTGAGGCAGGAGAATTGCCTGAACCCAGGAGGTGGAGGTTGCGGTGAGCCGAGATCGCGCCATTGCACTCGAGCCTGGGTAACAAGAGAGAAACTCCACCTCAAAAAAAAAAAAAAAAAAAAAAAAAAAGACATAAAAAGAACTGATTCTTGAAGACATTGTTGAGATGTGTATACAGCCATGCCTAAACCCAGTATCTCCCAGAAGTTTTAGTTATGTTAAACAGTACATTCCTTTTTCTAAGCCTATGGGAGATATGTTTTCTTCCCATTCTCCTTTCTCTCATCCTTCTATCCTGTTTTTGCTGAAAAAACTCCAAAAGAAGCTTCTATGTATGCATGCAGTATTTTATATATTATTGTCTCTTTCTCCCCCCTTCCTCCTTCCCTTTTGCTGAAAGAATGTTAAGTAATTTAGAAAGCATCTGTATATTCTTGAACATCCTGGAGCTAAAGATGACTTAAATTTGGTAAAAGATAACTTAAAATGCTATTTACATAAACAAACAGAAGCTCTCCATTGATATTATTGCATGCAGATTGGCATTTTGGTTTTAAAAATCTAAGCAACAGCATTGTTGTTTTAAAAATCTAAGGTCAAAGGGCCGGACACAGTGGCTCACGCCTGTAATCCCAGCACTTGGGAGGCCAAGGCAGGTGGATCACAAGGTCAGGAGTTCAAGATCAGTCTGACCAACATGGTGAAACCCCATCTCTACTAAAAATACAAAAATTAGCCATGTGTGGTGGCATGTGCCTGTAGTCCCAGCTACTCAGGAGGCTGAGGCAGGAGAATTGCTTGAACCTGGGAGGTGGAAGTTGTAGTAAGTCAAGATTATGCCACCCAGGCTGGGTGACAGAGCAAGACTCTGTCTCAAAATAAAAAAACAAAAACTAAGGTTAATACATTTTCTTAATTCTCATGGTACAAGGTTTTTGTTATTTTATTGCTGCCAAGGAGGATGATACTAGGGCACTCCTGGTACTTTATGATATTTGGCTCTGTGTCCCCACTCAAATCACATCTCAAATAGTAATCTCCCTGTGTTGAGAGGGACCTGGTGGGAGACGATTGGATCATGGTGGGGGAGGGGGGATCCTCCCATGCTGTTCTCATGATAATGAGGGAGTCTGCATAAGATCTGATGGTTTAAAAATGAGTTTCCACTGTGTACTCTCTTTCTCCTGCCACCATGTAAGACATGCTTGCTTCACCTTCACCTTCTGCCATGATTGTAAGTTTTCTGAGGCCTTCCCAGCCATACAGAACTGTGAATAAATAAACCTCTTTTTTTCATAAATTACCCAGTCTCAGTTACCGTCTTTATAGCAGCATGAGAACAGACTAATACACTCTATTGTAGGAACTTAGGAAGGATACTAGAAGCTGTTACACTGGCATTTACAAATCACAGAAGTTCATTAATATATGCCCAATGGAGTATATTACCCAAAGTATTGGTTTTCTCCTAAAATAAGATTTCTTTGTTTTAGAAAGGATGCTAGTGAGTCTGTTTTGGCTAATTTTCTACTTAGTATTAGAAGAAAAACTAATACAGGGTTTTGAGTTGAAGGGAATATAGTGATATTTCAGCCCCAAACACTCTTTTTTTGGGTGAGAAAACAGTCACAGAAATGTAAAAGAGGAATTGTGGATAAAATGATTACCAATTTGAACAGCCTTTGGCAACCACAGAATGGGAAGGAGCTGAGTTGTCCTCTCTTTTGTACTTAGTTTTCCACTCTCAGGTCTACTTCCATGGCTACATAATGGGGTTCATAGATAATAGTAGAATTACACATTTTTCTCTCTCTTTTTTTTATGAGACGGAGTCTCTCTGATGCCCAGGCTGGAGTGCAGTGGCACAATCTAGGCTCACTGTAGCCTCTGCCTCCTGGGTTCAGGCCATTCTCCTGCATCAGCCTCCTGAGTAGCTGAGAGATTACAGGCGTGTGCCACCATGCCTGGCTAATTTTTGTATTTTTAGTAGAGATAGGGTTTCACCATGTTGGTCAGGCTGGTCCCAAACTCCTGACCTCATGATCTGCCCTCCTCAGCCTCCCAAAGTGAAATGAGCTGTCGTGCCTGGCCCACATTTTACTCTTAATCTGTATGTATATTATTTATTTTTATTGATGTTGACTTTGTTTATTTCCTATCCAACTTTCCAGGCTCATTGGAATAGGGACTATATAAAAATGTCCATTTGATTATTGCTTCATTAATAATGCTAATAAAAAAGATGTCACATACTTTTTTAGTAGAGGGGAAAGGGACAATGGGAGCTTAGCAACATATTTAGACAGCAGTGAATGAGAATTTGGAGTGTTGTTCTTGCCTCCTCCAAATGCCCATCTTACTCTCAACCTCTTTAACTCTCAAGAAGGGCTACGTAAATATGTCCAGTCGGGCTGTGTTTGCCTAGCCTGTGTTCACTAGCCTGGTCTGACCCAATGCCACACAGCGGGGCAGGCAAATGCCCACAGTGCCTGAGAATTAGGCTGTATTTCCCCTGTATTTAGTAGATGCTATGCATATGGAACTTTAATACAAACTTTAAGTGAACTAAAGAACACTGAGACAAGTCAACATTTCACTTGCTTAGAAACTTCCTAGAAACTAAATTTGCCTTTAAGTACCCATTATTATGAATAGTTCTCAGAATTTTATATAATGAAGCAATAATATTGTTAATAACTGAAAGTATGATTTCATACAGGATAACTACTTCTGCATTTTTAAAACAGTTTTTTTCACATGAAATTATACACAATACAACAGACTTGTTTTATAAGTTGAAATCTTTACCATTATGGTCCGGTTATAGTAATGCAGGTAATATTAGTTCATTCACTTACAGAGGAGTTATTTATCTTCATAGGGCTTAACACAAAGCCAAGACTGAATTATTTGTTAAAATGCTTTCTAGGCTTTGACTTAAAATAAAAAAGAAAAATTACATCTAACTCCTCTCTATGTCAGGATGTAAGCAATGCCAACAATTAAGTGGTCTGGTATTTCTATAAAGGGCAGATTGTATTCCAATAGCTCTTAAGTTGTAAATCCTAAGGTTTTAGCTAAACATGCTATCAAATTGTCATTATCTCTGCTTTCAGGAAAATTATGTCATCTTTGGTAATAGGCTGCCAACAAACAGAAACTACAGAGTACACCATGTTTTCCCAAAGATTCCTGTATTTTAATGAGTAGCTGAATAAATAGACATTAATTATGAAATTCACATTAAGATAGAAGAAAATCCAAACATTCTGATTGCTTTATCTCTTAAATTTGATAACTTTTTATGTTAGGGTAAAAATAAGCCAACTCACAAGAGTGTAACTGGTTAGTGCTGGCAGATATATACAGTAACATGAAGGAGCCATACAATAAAAGTGTTTATATGTACATCTTTTTTTTTCCTTTTTGTATGGAGAAATGCTGTCTTATAAAATGGGAAAACACACAGTAGACTACATGCAACAAGGACCAATACAATGTGCACAGCAGAATAATAAAATAAGACACAAGAACTATAGGTTTAAAAAAGAATTTGGGAGCAGGACAAAAAACAAGGATTGAAACCTGGAATGCTTTCTTATTGAGGTTTCAGAATATAAATTTGTCTAACAAGCCTCTTGATAGTTTTCAAAAGTTCTCACTTAACCACCTATGGTTTAAGTGTAGAGCTAAAAATAAACCATCATATTATACAAAACTTTGTATATTAGCATACAAAAGGTAGCAATTTACTTTTTGTATAAAATATAACCTTTTGATAGTATATTTATTTCACATATGTATAAATATAACCCAAAGAATATGTTTTAAGTATTTCTACCAAAATATTCTTTACAAAAGTTTACAAAACAAGTAATTTATTTATATTTACAACCTAGCACAGGTAAAATTCCGGGCCAGTGATGTTGGTTTTGTGTAACAGATGGAGAGTGCTTCTAGACATTAAAATTGGGAGAGAGCTTTGTAGAATTTTCAGTGTGTTCTTTCTGTTTTGAAAAGATATTGAAAAACTTGGTTATTAAATAACTTCAGCTAAATTACATTTGATACTTGAATATGTGAGTGTATGATGGGAAGGGCTGAAGATAACCTTTGCTCCTCTGATAGTGATATTTTGCATTCATTCCAAATCAAAACATATCTTCGCCATTTTACAGCTGATCTGTATGTGGGCACTGAGGTTAAATGATTCAACAGAAACTCTTAGATACAGTGCTCAGCCCCGAAGGATGAAACCTGGATATGAAGAGTCCACTTAGCATGTGGCAATGATTCATCACATCAGGGACAGAAGAATGAACAGACCACATTCCATTTCACAGCAGTGAAATCTAAAATAATTTGTCCAATGAAGGACAAATTGTTTTCCCTCTTGATTATGCTTTCCTTCAAATCCCGTGAAATAAATTTGTACACACTGGTACTTGCCACCCCTGGTTCTTATCTCCAACCAAAACATGATACTTTCTAATTTCGGTTTTAGTCTCCAAACGTCCTTTTCTTATAAATGAGCCTCAGTCATCAAAGTGAGTAGGGAGGAAGAGGCTCAGTTTCACTCATCTTGGGAACAAACCAGCAGGCATCGATCATAATAAGCAACATCCCAGGTTATCTGTAGCCAAATAAATCTCCTTTATAGCAATGTCCTGTGGGTTTTTTTAAAAAGTGAAATCCAATGCAGATAGGTGTGCACCAATATTTCGGTATGATTAGGATAAGTCTTTGTTATATCTCAAATTTCATTGAAATGGATTCAGAAATTGGTTGTAGAAGCTAAAATCAAATTGCAGAGCTCTATATTTTTGTTCAATCACTAGACATAGCATCCCACTGAAGTATAGGATTGTGGGAAAATTGTTTGGTTACTCCAAACAAATCTATTTCAATCTATCCTGCAAGCTTCAGGAAAATTAAATGAAAAGACACAGTGGAAAGGTTAAACCATATCTATCTACTAGCGCAAATTAAGGAGTTTGTTGCTTGGAACTAGTATCTCCTCATGACATGGGTTTAAATAAACTACAAGTTCTATTACCTTTTTTTTTTTTTCAGGGAAAAAGAAACTTGGGAAGGCTATTTTACACAATTAATTACACATCAACATCACAGTTCTGTTTGGATAAATTGGATACTGGGTCCTGGAGTTTAGACAGGGAAAAGTGATCCTAATATTTTACTTTCAGGTGTAAGATTGAAAACAAGAATTTGGATCAAATTTTTCATCACTGCAGTTACTTTCTGCTTTCCATTTTTAAGCATGTTATCTTCATGTAGTCCACCTGAACATTAACAGTTCAGCTTCTACAAAGTTTCAGTAAAATACTGCCTTTTAGTGCCTGGAGGTTGTAAATTGTTTCCCCTTTCTTCTTCAGGAATTGTTCCCCAAGATTTCATCAAGATTGATGTCTTTCATCCAGTCATCATTACCAGGCTCTGTCTTCAATAAAGAATCGATGAAATCAGCATCACTGTTTAGGGCAGGGCCCATGTTATCAGTTTGTTGGCTGAGGAAGTCAAAAGCTAAGTCACTGCTGTGGTCAGTTCCTTGAAAAGCCCTGGAACTTTGGTTGGATGAAGGAAAATTGCTGGGTGTCAAGGATGACGGCTGATTGATGACTGTCCTCGACTGATTCAATCCTGTTCCTGACTGATTCAAATTAGGCAAAATCTGTGTACTTAGCTGATTGGGTCGGAGATTCAGACCCCTGAGTGGACCCATGGTTTGTCCATTTAGTGTTTGGCTCATTTGGTTCATGGGTCTCATTTGCACTGCTGGTGTTAACTGGTTAGGAGGAGCCACTGCCCTCTGGGAAAATTGCTGGCTACCTACTGCCTGTTGCAATGACTGATTTGGGGTATAGGCTGCAGCTGTACCTGTGGGGAAGGGGACTCCTGTAGATGTCAGGGCTTCTTGCTGTTTTGTTGTTGCTTCTTGAGAGGCCCAGTTTGGTGCAGTTGAGCTGGATGTGATCATTACATTTGATGTTCTCTGTGGTGGCATGCTTGCCATATTATGGGTTAAATTTGGTCTCAATTGTTGTGAATTGCCAACAGATCCAGCTCCAAAAGTGGTTACATTGTTATTATTACTTGGCCCTAAGGTAGGTGGACGTGGCATCATAGGGTTGTTCTGATTTCCTATCAATTGCTTTGGGTTTCTCTGTTGGGTCAACTGATTCATTCCTGAAGTGACACTGTATGTGCTAGGTTGGTTACAAGGCAGATTCCCATACATCCCCATGTTCTGAACTGCTGTAGATAATGACGGCATTCTTGTCCCATGAGAAGTAGACAGGAGGCTGGAATTGGGAGTTAAAATGGTGTGTGTTGAAACTGGGTTTGCCAAAGCCTGGTTAGAGTTTAAGCTTATTGTGGATGAGCCACCTGAGAAAGAGAAGAGAATTGTATTAGTTTGTAACTGTGTGTTATCTCCTCTGTAATTGCACTTTGCAATAACCCATCAATCTGAAACTACTTTCAGGTATAAGACAATTTAGGCGAAATAATCATCAGATAAATTACGTAAAAAGAACAAGACAGTTTTTGGGAGGAAGGAGCACCTGAAGTCACTCTTTGGTTCACAAGTTTACACATTACAAAAAGCAGACTAAAATCGTTCTTATTTTTTCAGTTTTATTTTATTCCTCTTCTGAAGTCATTTCAGGGAGATAATAGTCAATCTTCTATTTGGAATTAGCTTCACTGTGTTCCAAGTCTAGAGACTACAATCTTGATTAGCCAGCTCTCATGAAATCCATGTTACTATTTACCCCAGGTCCAAATAAGAAACTGTAGATGAATGCTATACATGGCTCCTAGATTAATATTCCCAAACTTTGGCCTTGAAAATCATGTCTCATTCTTTATCTGAATCATTCCCATTCAAGGAGCTGCCCCAATCACTCCCCAGTGTTCAAAGGGTAAATCTCCATCTCTTTAAACATTTGGAATTCAACACTCTAGATATTAACTTCATACAGAAAGTCTTCAGTTCTAGGAGGTGTAGTGACTATTGAATTGTTACTCAAGGCACTGTGAGCTACCTTTACTCATTTCCATCCCTCACTGAGCCCCATCTTTTCCTCAGGGATCAGATTAAGGCTGAAGCTCCTCCATTAAGTTTTCCTTTATCTTCCAGCCTCCTCTCTCCAGCAGTATTTGCCCTTTGAATCTTTCATTTAGCACTTAGTATTGGGCAATCCATGGAGCCTCAAAGTGCCTGCCAGTGAAACTGATGCCTGTCAGTAACTGATAGGATATTGATAGAGACAGGAAGCAGACAAGGGTCTCAGCTCCACCCCTACAAAACCCAGCCTTCAAACCTAAAACAGCCTGAAAGCTGAAAAACTGGATGAAGCCCAGATGAAGCCCTTTTCCGACTGATTTTTTTCTGAATAATGCCCACCTGTGCACTGGGAGGATGTGATGGAGCTTCATGCCATTTGCAGCAGGGAGGAGCCTGGCCTCTCCTGTTCCTGTGTGGTGACCTGGGAATTCAATCTGTGAGGTGGGAAACCTGCTAGCAGGACTTTCTCTCGCTTTGCTGAGAGTTATTTTTCATTTTTTGCCTGATAAATTCCATTTTTCTTCCGTCCTTCTATGTGTCCACGAGCCTAATTTTTCCTGGCCATGTCATGAGAGCCTGGTTTTAGCTGACCTAAGAGAAAGTTCTGCAACAACATGGGACAATGTCTAAGCCACAGATTGTGGAATAAGGGCTTCATATGACAGACAGTGATTAATCAACACACTGAAATCTTCTTGACTTCTGGAGGTTAAAGTCATCATGAGGAAACATTTTTGGAGGCAAATACGATCAGAGAGGGCCAGAGTCAGAGATTCTGAGAAATACAGAGCTAAACACACCTAAGAATATCACGATGTCAGTGGGTGGGCAGAGCACGCCTGCAACTGTAAACTTAGGCTATTCCCTGCTGCTTAAGGATACCTAGGTTGTATACATCCTGAAAGACTGAGGGCATAATGAACACACTAACCTTGCTATTTATTTATAAATCTGCCCCCAACTAGGCTACATACCCCTTGAATGCAGGAGCAGTCTCTTGTATCTCCTTGTATCTGTGTAGTGTATTGTGTAGTGGGCAGTGTTTGATGAAGAGAGATAAGAGCCAGGTAGGAGACACTTGAACAGTAACTGAGACCACACCTAATGCCAATAAGATTAAGCAACATCATCTTTGTATCTGAAGGTTTCATATCAAGGGAATTTATATTATGAAAATGCTGTGGGATAAAATGTAGATGTTTTAATAATTATCACCTGTAGTCGCCCTGTATTTTAATAATATGCCCTAAGAAGGTTTATAAGGAAAACAATATTTTTAAACAATCAGAATAGAATTTCCACAAAGATCACAAAATAATAACAGTTAATACTTAAAACCTCCTAACAGGTAATGGAAACTGTCCCAGGCTTTTCATACTCCATTTTCAATATCAGAATCTGGGAAAGGTAAGTATTATTGTACCAAGATTGAAATTTAAAAATGAATTTAAAAAGTTTGTATTGTGTTTTGTTGCTTATTTCATTATCAGAAGACATGGGAAGTGCAATGCTCTAGAACAGTGATTCTGACCCACCGGAGTGTCAGCTGTTGGATGCGAAGGATTACTCCATTAGAAAAACACCAATTTTGACTGTGGAAGAGACTGCTAGGTGCCTCCCCTAATATCCAATCCCTATGTGTTCCTTTGAAACAGAGCTTTGGTTTTAGAAACAGAGCAATGTGCTCAGGTGAAAAACCATATTTCTCCAACTCCCTTGTCGATGGGGTGCGTGGAGGGGTCCAAATGAATCCATTCTGGCTAAGGGAATCAGATTTCTTTTCTTTCCTCTTCCTACCTGGAATACACTAAAAAATAAGTTTAGTGCAAAATGAGACTAGTGATGTGGTGGCTACCGGGCAGCCCTTAGGATAGAAGCCACATGTTGAAAGAGATGGAGTGGAAAGATAAAAGAAGCTTCAATTCCGGGTAACACTGTAGTACCACCAAGCCAGCCCTAGACTACTATCCCTGGGATCCTTTTACGTGAGTGGGAAAAGAAAAACCTAAATATCCACCTTGAATTTTGTATAATATTTCCAAGGGCTCCCAGCTTTCCCAAAGCTCACTCAGGCCATTGGCATAAAAAACTATGTTTCAAATACAGTATGTACTACATAACAATGTTTGGTCAACAAAGAACTGCATGTATAACAGTGGTCCCATAAGATTATAATGGACCTGAAAAATTTCTATGGCTGTATCCTAGAAGACACTCGAAAATAATTATTAAATGCATTCACTCACCACTCACTGATACTCAGTGCAACTTTCAGTCCAGCAAGCTCCATTCATGGTAAGTGCCCTGTACAGATGTACCATTTTTTATCCTTTTTAAATCATATATAAAAGTCATAGTAAATGCTTTTTACTATGCTGTCAATAATTATTTTAGAGTGTACTCCTTCTCCTTATACAAAAAGTTAACTGTAAAACAGCCTCAGGCAGGTTTTCAGGAGATATTCAGAAGAAGGCATTGTTATCATAGGAGGTGACAAGCTCCACGTGTTACTATTCCTGAACACTTTCCAATGGGTCAAGATGCAGAGGTGGATGACAGTGACACTGATGATTCTGACCTTGTGCAGGCAGGCCTAGGCTAATGTGTGTATGTGTGTGTTTGTGTCTTAGTTTTAAAAAAAAAGCTTAAAACAAAACCATAAAATTTTAAAGTGAAATAAGCCAGGCACAGAACCACATGTTCTCATTCACATGTGTAAGCTAAACAAGTTGATATCATAGAAGTAGAGAGTAGAATTGTGGTTTCTAAAGGTGGGGAGGATGTGGGGAGAAAAACCTAGAAAGAAATTGGTTAATGGACACAAAATTACAGCTAGAGAGGAGGAATAAGTCCTGGCGTTCCATAGAATTATAGGACAACTATAATTAAGGATAATTTATACTGTTTTCAAATAGTCAGAAGAGGATTTTGAATGTTCCCAACACAAAGAAATGATAATGATTGATGTGCTGGTGACGCTAACTACCCTGATCTGATCATCACATACTGGTCCATGCATCAGAATATCCTACTGTACCCCATACATATGAACAATTGTATGTAAATTAAACATAATTTAAAAATTATAAGAAAATAGAAAAAAGTTTCTAAAATAAGGATATGAAGAAAAAAATATTTTTGTATAGCTGTACAATGTGATTATGTTTTAAGCTTAGCTATCACAAAAGTCCAAAGTTTAAAAAATTGAAAAGTTGTAAAGCAAAGCAAAAAAAGTTGACATACAAGTTAACTATTGAAGAAAGAAATTAAAAAAAATAAGTTTAGTGCAGCCTAAGTATATAGTGTTTACAAGGTCCACAGCAGTGTACAGCGATGCCCTAGACCTTTGCATTCATGTGCCACCCACTCACTGACACTCAATGAAAGCTCCATTCACGGTAAGGGCCCTATACAAATGTACCATTTTAAAAATCTTTTAAATCATATTTGACCATACCTTCCCTATGTTTAGATACACACATACCTACCATTGTGTTACAACTGCCTACAGTAGTCATCACAGTAACATGCAGTACAGGTTTGCAGCCTAGGAGCCATCGGCTATACTATACAGCGTAGGCATGCAGTGGGCTAGGCCACCTAAGTTTGTGTAAGTACTCTCTATGGTGTTTGCACAACAAAATGCAATTCTCAGAACATACCCCCATCATTAAGCAACATATGATTGAAAACTGCATCTTTGCTTCCAACCCCTCTTCAGACAATCAACTGGAGAATCCTGTTTTTGCCCTGAGGCAAATTTATCTTAGAGTGGAATACATACATCCGATTACTAATTTTATTTGTTGTTTTTAGAGACAATGTCTCAATATGTTGCCCAGGCTGGCCTTGACCTCCTGGGCTCAGGCAATCCTCCCACCTCAGCCTCCAGAGTAGGTGGGACTACAGGCATGTGCTACTGAGCCCAGCTCTATTCTCAACTTTAGTTGAAAGAGGCAACCTGTTGTATATATTTGAGGGAGTTTAAATAAGTCGGGACAACATATTTAAAAGTACACTTAACAGTACCAGGAAATATTAATAAAATAGAGGTGTTCACAGCCTTTCTTTCTTTAGAGAATCTCCTTTATGGCTTCCTGCACAGATGAAGGTAACAGGTAAGACAAAGAACTTAGGAAACCCAAGATGATAAGCTTAACTCACATAGGAAAGTGCAGAGAGTTTTGGGCAGAAGTGAATTGAACAGATGCTGAATAGGAGAAGGCAGGGCAATACTGGCTGGGTTTGGGAAAGTTTCTTTTGGAGTTTAATGAGTGGGAGGAGAGAGAATTTGGGGTACTTTTGTACTTACCATTTATTTTTTACTGAGAGAGCTATTAAGAAGATTTGCTTTGTGATTTAAATGGGGTTCACCTTTGTTGTTGTTGTTGTTTTTTGAGACGGAGTTTCACTCTTGTTACCCAGGCTGGAGTGCAATGGAGCGATCTCAGCTCACCGCAACCTCCGCCTACTGGGATCAGGCAATTTTCCTGCCTCAGCCTCCTGAGTAGCTGGGATTACAGGCACGCGCCACCATGCCCAGCTAAGTTTTTGTATTTTTAGTAGAGACCGGGTTTCACCATGTTGACCAGGATGGTCTCAATCTATTGACCTCGTGATCCACCCATCTCGGCCTCCCAAAGTGCTGGGATTACAGGCGTGAGCCACCGCGCCCGGCCCTTTGTTGTTTTTGAGAGACTGTGAAAACTTGATTTGCTTTTCAAGTATTCCTTGGTGGCAGGACCATTTGTCTTTGAAGGGGAAACCTTGAAGGTGGGCCCAAAGGTGGATACAAAAGACTAGGGTTTGTGAAAGTGACGCAAGTGCCCACCTAAGAGGGAGAAGTGTCTGCTTACCTTCTACTACCTGGGTTAAGATATATCTTTGGGAGGACAATGATTGAACCTAACAGAAAAATATTTAGCTCTTTTGAATTCTCGGAGGTAATCCAGAGTGGTGAAATACGTGAGGCTAAGCAAGAACTGATGAAAGGACTAAAAAGTATTTAAGAAGTCTTGGTATGAAAGCCAAATGGGAGTTAGAGATTCTAAGAAAAATATTACAGTCGAATGTGAGTTAAAGGGAAACAGAATTATTGAAAATTGAAGTTGTTTTTTCCTTTCACAGCTATGATTTTTATGACTTTTGAAGAATACTTACCAGAATACTGAGCAGTTGGTTGCATATTGCCCACATTTCTTCTTTGGTCTTTATAATCTGGAGGTGGCCTTGACAAATGTCGGTTTATCTGATCTTGTGGAGCCATTTTCTCCTTGAGAAATGATATGAGAACAAATGAAAACATATTAAATTGTATCATTCTCTTTTCACTTGTGAAAATGCACGTAAAATTTTGTAAATTTCAGAAAAGAACAATTTTGCAATCATGGGTTACAAATCATGACCTTATTTCATGTCTCTGAATTATGAAATAATCTTTTCAATTTCAATAAACTTCCTGTATGCAAGTATCATTTCTACTTCTCCATAACACTCGACATGTGTTTTGGTTTTAGTAACTACTCTTATTTTCTTTATTTTGCAATTTGATTTCAATGAGAACTAAATTTCTGTGATTTTCAAGATTCTAATTTCTAATTTGATGTTGTAGCACACATGATATACTTTGGTAGGTACCAATATATAGTTCTGGTCCCACAGAGTGGGGAAAGCATAGGAGTAGGGTTTTCAGATAAAATACATAACACCTGGCATTCTGTATTCTTATTGGTTAAATCTGATAACCCTAAGTAGGAGGAGATATCAGGAGATAACAAACGGATAATGATATAGGCACTATGTCAATGTTATCTCTTTTTTTTACCTCCTCATAAACAATTCTTAAAAGTAGGTATGATTATTTCCACCTAAAAAATAAGGAAATGGAAGCCTCGTTAGGCTAAGTAACTTGCTCAAGATCACAGAGTGGTAGAACTGAGACCAAATATTGAGTCCAAAACTCAGCTCTTTCCTGATGCACAGTTTGAGGGCCCCTTGCTACTCTGTTTATCAGCTCCCCATTCTAAAAGCACAGGTTCCAAAGCCTCCCTTCATTTCTTCCTTCCGGAATCAGCCTTTTGATCTTTAGAATAGGCGAGTTTGGAAGCTAAGAGAAAAAAATAGAGACATTCTTTTAATATGTCAATATCCCCAGCCAGAGACCACCAGGAACACAGCTGTTGGGTTTATTACTTGTTGCAGCAAGGAAGAACACACAACATGAAGGGTCACAGGGCATCTCAGGAGGAGAAGGTTAGAAAGACTCTGTCCTAAGATTTGGACTTTGAGTGACTTAGGGAGGGTCTAAACAAATGGGGCTTTGTTCTAGATTGGAAGATGTCAGAAAGTAAAGTCAATTCTAATTGAATAAAGAAGTAGCTATCACTCATTTAACAAGAGACGGGGGTGTTTGGCATTTTGGAGGTTGCACAGAGACCTTGTTTGTATCTGTTTTTAGACAAAATTATGAAGTCTTATTTTGTCTCATTTTATCATGATCTCAGAGTAACCCTGTCTGAGGTTGACAATGTGTAGGATTGTTTATACCCAGCAGAGAACAAAATGGCTTGGCTGTGAGTGTCATATCAGCTTTGGGAATTAAGGGCTGCTTTTTTTCTTCTTTGGTATGGATCAGGGAGTTTTTAGAATTTCTTCATTGCAATTTTGTATGCACACCAAAGCAACCTCAATCTTCAAGATAAAAATAATCAGCATAGGTAGATAGAGAACACTGGAATTATAGAAAGGTCAACAAATAAAAACCTTTTTAGTAGATACATGGGTAAATTATCTGGAAGACAAATGTGTACTGCCTAACTTAGAACTGACTTAAACCATGTGTTTCTCAGTTTCCCATCAAATTCCAGACCTTCTTAGTAGAATAAGTCTACTATAAAGGAGGGGAAAAAGCCTTAAAACAACAACAAACCAAATTTAAATTCTTGTTGCTAAGAAAAAAGCTTGAAAGACACAGTTTTTTGCACATAAGTAATTCATATAAAACACAATTTTGATGAGCTAAGTGTAAATGAATCAGAAACATATGGATTACATTTATTTTAAACATGGGTTTATAAATTAAGGGAAAAAGTGGTTGGTGAAATGCTTTTTGGTTTTGCCCAAACTCTAAATGTTTAAGAAACAGCTTGAGATGTTCCATGAACCCAAATGTGGTGATGTTCAACCAGCCCTGTTGTAAACTGTTGTATAGGATGACAGTTTTGATTTTTATACCAAGCATGGGACTTTCTGAAATTCCCTTTTTCCAAAAGCATCTGTCATTCTTTCTTATGTAACTAGGTGTTTCTACTATTGATATGGAAGAAGACAGTGTGTGTGTGTGTATGTGTAGGCGAGAGAGAGAAAGAAAGAGAGAGATAAAAAGAGAGAAGAAGGTCCTTGACCTCCCATCATAGATTATATTACAAAATAACTATTGACTTTTTTTTTTTTTTTAGTTGGAGTCTGGCTTTGTCACCCAGGCTGGAGTCCAATGGCATGATCTCGGCTCACAGCAACTTCCACCTCCTGGGTTCAAGGATTCTCCCACTCAGCCTCTCGAGTAGCTGGGAATACAGGTGCCTGCTATCATGCCCAGCTAATTTTTTTTAGTAGAGATGGGATTTCACCATGTTGGTCAGGCTTGTCTACACCAGAGGGCTAAACTGTTGTTCAAAGGGTTTTCATATATATATATATGTGTGTGTGTGTGTGTGTGTGTGTGTGTGTATAAATATATATATGTGTGTGTGTGTATATATAAGCATGTATATATATATGTATATCTCCAGAAATTTAGGTTTCTTAAACTACTTGTTCACAAATGAATTAGAGTAATAACCTTGTATATGGACATAACATAGAACTTCCATGTTGTCCCTTTATGTTGAAGAGCAGCAAAGACTAGACAGCAATACTGAATAGAGATGGCTACATTTTGCAAAAGAATGACATTCTCATTCTATGCAAGTATAAACATATAGGCCATTCCTGAGATTACTTTTCTGCCATATGAAATTTAATTTATGAACTAATATCTAATGATAACCCAATCTCTTGGACCTGAAAACCCATTATAGAAATCATTTGTTATCATATGTATCTGTTCTGTTTCAGTTTCTCCATCTGAAAAAATGTGAGATGTGGATAATTATAGGACCTCCCTCATATTCCTATTAATTCTGTGAAAATCCATCTTTGTGCCTGGAAACAGTAGGTGCACAATGCGTGCTGGTAATTATGATGTCCGTTGTAAGAAGTACTATTCATGTCTCTTCTTTGTGCCTCACTGGTAGGAGAATAAAAGAGAATAAGGATAATAAACTTCCATGAGAAAAAGTCTCAATTTAGGTGCCTATGTGGCCTTGCCAACTGACTGCAGAGGACCACAAAGCATATGCTAATGTACAGTGGTATGAAAGACCACGTCTTCCTGGATATGCTAAAAAGCACAGACACCCTCAATGGTGTCCAAACAAAGAAATGCGGATGGTTTTTAAAAATCACAAAAACGGCAGCCTCATTCATCTCACACAGTTTAATGCCATTGCCCTTTGCACCTGTCCTAGTGGTGACTCAACTGGGGCCCAGTGGGAGTTAGGCCAGTGCCAGGCCAGGACCCTTAGGGAATGTGTATGCTACCACTTCCTTGCCTTTTAACAAGAGCTGAAAATCAACCTGTTTGTGTTATAATTCATGAAACTAGTAGTATTGTTGGTAGCGATGAAAGTGTACCCAGTAAGTCAACCTTAGATTATACATGTTTCTCTCTATTGCCCTTGTTCCTTAGTTCTTTAGTTTATAAGGATAAAAAGTGGGAGGGGAAGGGAACCGGGGCGGGGGACTGGAGTTTTCAAAACTATGATTTCTAGAAGAAACCAGTTGTGTCACTTTGTGATGCAGTCTGTGACTGCCTAAAACTTTATGGCAGTACTCAAGGTCATCTGTAATCTTATTTCTCACTATTCCTTAGTCCAGGTTAAATGAATTTATTTCTCATTATTTCTTTTCACATGTCCTGAATATGAAACTTATTCCACTTGTAATTCCTTAAAAAAATGTGATTGTTAAACTGTGTTTACTTTTTATCAGGGATTAAATATTTCCTAATGCAATCTCAAACTAACCAACAAATTCATACCCAGGCTGCACCTTTTGGTGGCTGCTCCACCCTCCGCCTCTAATAGTGGACCCCACCTGCTCTGTCTATCAGAATCCTACAGTCTTTCAAAATCAGTGTCAAATTCTACCTCTTTGAGAGACTATCCTCAATCTTTTCCGGCCAGATTTAGTCTTTCTACTACATTTTCTCTTACTATTTTTATACTTTTACTACAACGCAAATCTGAATCTAGTGCTTCCCCTTGTGTTAAATCCTTAAAATGTCTTCCATTGCTTTTCAATGTAAATTCTGGTCTTTCAAGTCTTACCCTCCCGGCTCTTACCTCTGGCATCTTTACCCATCACTTCCCCATTCTTGTATACACTGTAGCATTCTTTATTATCCCTAGGTCTTTGAATATGCTGGTTCTTCTGGCTAAAATAACCCTCCTACTCTCCTCTCATCTTTTACTCCCCTTTCAGATATTCAGTGGATAGAATGTTCTTTCTGAATCATTTCTAGTAGTTCCCAGAGTATAGCATTTAATCACATGCATTATAATTGGCCAATTTATTTGACACATCCTCAGTTGGCTCAAGGCTTCTTTAGGGTAAAGCGAGGATTTACCTGTTTATGGCTCTACCCTCATTGCAAATTAATATTTACTGACAATTATAACATGTGTCACGCCCTGCATTTCTGACTCTCACTACAAAGCTCCTTGAATATAAGATTATTTGATTTTGTTTTTTTCTTTTCTGTGTACCTTAGTTCTACTCACCTGGAGATGGTTACTTCTTATTTCATTTGGCCAAATAGTTTGAAGGGAGACGACAAAACTAGGGCTGAGCAGATAAATACTGAAGCAGGTTTAATGCATGGGTAGTGTGTGAGAAGCACAATCTTATCTTTCTTAAAAAGTCAAATATTAGGTTGGTGCAAAAGTGATTGTGGTTTTGGCCATTACCAGTAGCGGCAAAAAACCGCAATCATTTTTGCACCAACCTAATAAATATAATGCAAATGGGAAATATATTTTATATTTTCTTTTAAAAAAATTCCCCATTGTGAGTTGCTTTATTTTGGAAGCCAAATCTTCGTTTTGAGACTCCATGTTGGCTTTTAAAATTGTTTTTAAAACTCTTATCTCTAAAATCAGTTTGTATTTGAGTTGATTCCAGTTCAATTTACTACTTCTGCCCCTTAAGCCTGGGGAACAACAGTGGTTTATTTTGCCTGATTCAAATGCCCATGTTGGTTGTTGTAGACATTCCTGGGCTGGGCTGGGCAGGGCTGGTTAGCAGAGGTGCCATGCAATCCAAGCGTCTCACAACTGTTAAGTCAAGTTTTGTTTTTTTCTTCTTCCTGCAGTACACTAAATATATGGAACTATCCTCTCTTACAGTCAGGAGGCCTTTGTTGCTGTCATATATCAGGTACAGCAAATATAGATAGAAAAGAATAAACTCTCTCTGTTAGGTCAACAGGTTGGTTCAGTAGAAATTAAGAGAAAATTTTACCGCATCAGCCAGCATCTGCTGCTGGAGAAGGAGTTGCTGTTTCTGCTCCATGATCTGCCTCTGTAGAGCCTGCTTCTTTCCCATCAATTGCTGATTCAACAGTGATTGCTGGGAGTTCATGTAACCACTTCCAGTGTTTGGATTTGAGCAGGGGTTGGGACTTGGACTGGGGCCTGTGTTCTGGCCTACCACAGAGTGTTGATCCTAAAGAAGAGAAAGGGGGGAAGGAAAAGCTACTGTGAATTTAAAAAAGAAACATGTAGCACAAGGACTATATACTCAGATTCCAAACATTTTTCATCTTATTAAAGATTAAACATGGTTAATGGTTTAGAGATCAGAGAATCGCTTTTTAAATGTAGAAGAAATAATTGCATATCACAGCAACCAAAGCAGCTGGGTTAATGAAATTAGGGCACTGGAAAAGCTCCCATTGGACTCTGTTGGTGGAACTTCCACATTCCAGAAGGTGTTTATGGAACCTCAAAGAAAACTACCATAAAAACATATGGCAAACCTCTCAATTTCTCAGGAATAAACACCATAGTGTAACAAATCCTTCCTTTTCCCAAAGTTAGCATGTATCATTGCTGATCCTACAATGAAAATCATATTTTAATTTATATGTTTAAAAGTTGAAACCATTTTGGACAGAAGGCATTTTGCCTTGCCCAGCTTTCTGTACCAGAAAGGCAGGAAGGCCTGTGAGTTTCTGTTTTATAAACTCAAACAGAATGGACTTCACTTCTCAGGGGCTTGTTAATTTTGTTTCCCAGTCAACACTTCAGGTATCTTGGTACAAGAATCTCAGTAAAAGAAAACCTACCACACTGACAATGAGAAAATATTGATTAAAAACTCAGTCATGTATCAAATAACATTGGGTCCTAGTGAACTGCCTTTCTAATGTGAAGTCTCTACCAATTTTTTGGCATTGACAAATCAGGACTCTTCAAGACAGTAAGCTAAACCCAGTCAAATATTCTCATTAATTCCCAATGATGTATTTAGGATTGAGCTCCATACTAGTACACTAGTAGGGTTACAAGAAGATTAGTAAATATGGTTATCCCTCTAGAGAATTTATCACCCAAGTTAGGGAGAAATGCTTACACGTATAAATACAAGAAAATATAAAATCAAATTTTAGATTATATGATATAAACAGTAAGTTAAAAATTGTTATACTTTGATCAGAATGATCTGGGAATCAGTTTATAAGTCAGATGTCCTGGCCTTGTCCCAGGGATTCTGAGGCTATAGATAAGAATCTGTACTCCTTAGGTCATGCTTACACTCACTGGTACAGGGAATATGCTTTGGGAAACACTGATTATATGGGAACAAAAGAAATCCAACTCTTTCTCTCTTTTTTTCTTTATTTTTTTTTTAAGAGACAGAGTCTCACTCTGTTACCCAAGCTGCAGTGCAGTGGCACAATTATGGCTCACTGTAGGCTTCAAACTCCCAGACTCAAGCAAACCTTCCACCTTAGCCTCCCAAGTAGCTGGGACCACAGGTGTGTGCCACCTCACCTGGCTAATTTTTAAATTTTTTGTAGAGACGGGGTCTTACTATATTGCCCAGGCTGGTCTCAAACTCTAGGGCTCAAGTGATCCTAGATCCTTGACTTCCCACAGTGCTGGGATTACAGGCATGAGCCACTGCGCCTGGCAAAAAATCTGTCATTCACCAACTAAACTGTGTGAGGTTATAAGACATAAAAACATAATGCAGGGAGTTGGGTGTGGTGGCTCACGCCTGTAATCCCAGCACTTTGGGAGGCTGAGGTGGGCAGATCACCTGAGGTCAAGAGTTCAAGACCAGCCTGGCCAACATGGTGACACCCTGTCTCTACTAAAAATGCAAAAATTAGCCAGGTGTGGTGGTGCGCGTCTGTAATCCCAGTTACTTGGGAAGCTGAGGCATGATAATCACTTGAACCCAGGAGGCAGAGGTAGCAGTGAGCTGAGATTGCGCCACTGCATTTCAGCCTGGGCAACAGAGCAAAAGTCTGTCTCAAAAAATAAATAAATAAATAAAGCAGCTCCCATGATACCACATGAGTAGTGGTGGCAGATACATCATTTGTGGAAATTCTCTTCTCTTTTATTTCCTTCTTTTTCTTTAACTATATACTGAGCTGAAATAAATAAATAAATAAGCCACAAGTCCAAAGCTGTGGCCTTGCTTTAGTAATCCCTGGGGCTACAAAGCTCACCAGCTGCCTCAAACACAAAGGGTTACAAAATCATCCTAAGGGCGACCATCCACTGAGGCTTATTATCAGCCAGTCACTGCCTTCAGTGCTTTATCTCATTCACTTCTCCCAACAAAACAGTAAGAGCTTGTATTATCATCCCAATAAGTTATCCCTATCCCAATTTTGCAGATAAGAAACTTGAGCTTAGAGAGATCACATAGCCATAAGTGGCCACGGAGGATTTGAAGCCAGGTCTGTCTGACCCCACAACTCTAATTCTCAATCACTATACTTCACTGCATGTCATCTGATACGGGAAGTATTGAGAAGAAAGATTTTTGTACTTTAACCTGGGCCAACCCATCAGTTCATGCAGCCCTCTTCCCAGGGTTGAGCACTCTCAGGTCAGGGAGGTGGAAGAAAGTGTTTTGGACAGGACAGGAGTGAGGACAGGGTGAGGAGATCCTCTTCACTAGTTAGTAAAAAATGATTACAGCCATCTCTGAAGTACATCCTCTGTGCAGCTTAAGGAAGCCATCCCCTAATATATTTCCACCCCTGTGACCAGTCAGTTCTTTCAACCTTAAATCCATTATGACTTTTGAACAAGATTTCACCCCATGTGTTCTATAAGCCACTAGGATGTGGGCTTGGAGACAAGCACTTGAGAGTCATTGACAGAATAGTAGGAAATCAAGATCTGTGAGCTGAGTGTTGTGGAGGGCAAAAGGAGGAGGAAATGCATGGAGGACTGGGGGTTGAGCCTTTGGGTGCACCCTGACTAAGGACGCAGAAGCAGAGCCTGTGACAGGGAGAAAGAGGCAGGATCAGGGAAGTGTAAAGACAGCTGGAAGTGGTGGTGGAAGACATCAAGGTGGAAAAGAGTGTACTGGAGACAGCAGTTTGCTTTCTACTCTCCACTTGAACCAGAATAGAAAGAGTCTGCCCTTCTCTTTGATATAATTTAGTTTTATGCAAGACTTTCAAAAGAAGATTTCATGTTTGTCTGACAAGCACAGGTGGAAAAATTGCAAACACTTTTCTGTTCGTCTTCTTTGCATTGCCACGCAATGGACAAGACCATAAGCTCTGGAGATAGGTCCTCCTTGGTTCATACCCTGGTTCTGACACTTAGTTGTGTGATGTGGCAGAAGTTCATTCCCCTCTCTAAGCCTCAGTGTTCTTATCTGTGAAAGGGAAATAATAACAGTAAGGACGTCACGGGGTCCTCACAAGAATTAGAGGAGATAATCTAATACCCAGCACATAGTAAGCACTTACTAAACAACAGCTGCTCATTCATTGTTAAAGTTATTTCTACACATAAGAACAATAGTCTGTTTTTGTTTGTTTTCACTATGAAACAAAGGAGATAGAACTTGCAGACTACACAAAGCTGTTCTGTGTCAAGTCTCTCAGAAATGGAGAGGTCTCAGTTATATTGCAGATTATGACCCACCCAGGGATTTGGGGAATTACCTTCATCTTCCTAATTGAAGATGCCAGAGATGGGTGGGGTATCATTCTCTGACGGGCTGTCTTTTGGGGTATGCTTCTTTCCTCTCAGTTAGGGTCTCAGCTCAGGTCTCTGTTAACTTTTTGTTTGTTATTCTGGTTTTCATTGTTTTAACACCCAATTATTTATGCATAGTACAATCAATGTACATTTAGTAAGTACTGTGCCTTAGTTTCCTCATTTGAAAAATAAAGGCAATATATTAATTATCTAAAATTTGACAAGATAAATTTTAGAACAGTGCCAGGGACTTAGCAGAGGTATTTGATACACTTTAACTATTATTTTTTTTGTTATTCTTGTATTTTTAAATATTAGAGAGATGTTTTATATCCAGTGAGTCTTGTGAAGGAGCTCACACCATAAGTGTTCCTGGACTACAGATGTGGTCTGTTTGGCCCCCGTCATGTTTGAAATACAAATTGCTCTTTGTGCTCTCCAGTTGGCCACAGCCTCTACTACTCCTTGCTTTATTATACCCACCCATTTTCCTCATTTCTATCACTTGCCTGGTCCATGTCGGTCATTTGAGTTTAAGATCTCTGGCATAGAGTTCATCTGGGAGGATAAGCTACACGCACCACACACTCCAGGTATGGACTCACCCAAAGTTATGACAACAAAAAGCAATGCATGATCACTTCCATTAGGTTGTATGATACCTACTAATGTCTTAAGATTAAAACCCAGATCATGGCACACATTTACCTATGTAACAAACCTGCACACCCCACACGTACCCAGAACTTAAAAGTTGAAGGAAAAATACATAAATAAATAAATCTCAGATCAACTAAGGCCTAGTCTAGTCATCCACAAATATATCAATCCATTAGTGCATTTGACAATGTATATTGAATGTCTAGTCTGTATATTGAAAAGCAATTTTTTATTTTCTAGAGACCAACATGTATTTAGAAAAGGGGAAAAAGAAGAGAAAGAAAAGAGGTAGGCAGAGTGCACAATGTTGGCAGAATTGATGAACTCCAAAATAATTTCCAGAGAAAACCACCGTTTTCTAAGATTTATAAAAGATCTACATGCCAGGAAAATGTAACTATGCCTCTTTCTCTCTCTAATCAAACAGATAGACTGTGCTAAATGTAGTTTCATTCCTTCAAGATACCAAAAGATACTTTAGGACCCTTTTCCCTAGGGTCTGGAGGGTTTTCCAAATTTGAAACTAGTGCTAGGGTGAAGGGAGTTGCCCTGGAATGGAGGAAAGAATAAGAGATAAACTCTTGCAATTTCGTAAAAGATTTTTAAATCTTGTAGTTTCTAGCTCATGGGTTTTACCATCTACCTACTATACATTCTTTGAATTCGTGATTAAAGTAATATTTTGCTGCTGTTGCATTTTTTTGTACTTATGTTTGCTATAAAACACAAAATACCTCCTTACTCAGGCTTGCTGTCATTGCCAAGATGTTGTGCAAACTTTAGTACATAAAATAGTTTAACAGAAAAATCTGCTTCGATGCATTG